CAGATAGCTGATATCGGAAACTTCGCTCAACGGAGAGATTAAACATAAATTAGGCAGGAGACTGATTAAAGCTAGCGATAAATAAAGCACTAAAAACAAGCAAGTCGTGGGCTAAATTATACCGAATGTGCGTTTTGATATGTGCGATTCAAGTTTATACGTCGGCACCATCGTCGGCGATTCGCCGGAACGGCTGGCCGTTCGTCGGCGACTTTCCAGCATTCATCGGAGCTGACAGCCACGAAAGAAGAAGAAACGGCAGCCGTCTGGCGTTGCACCGACGTAAAGAAACAAAACAGAACGGAAGTGGAAAACGTCTATCTATAGCCCAGCGTAAAAGCAGCGGCTTGCGGCGAGACGCGTCGTCGTAAACGAACGATGTGTCGAGAGGTGTTCGGCAAAAATTACGAAAGCTATAACAAGCCAGTGGGATGGAATGCACTGGCTAATGCTAACTATTTACCAACGCTTGAAATTCGAAGAAACAAATCTGTTTCAGGACTGATTACACGGACTCACAAATTGTAAATATTATCTTTAATCAGGGTTAGAAAATAATGAATTATTTGTAACGTCTTTACCGTTACAAGCTTTTTCCAGTAAGTGCTCGTCACATGATCCTCGAGATTGTGTGAATGATTTCGTATATGCTATCATTTATAAAGTTATATTCTTACAAAAAGTATTATTAATTGGTTAGTAATAAATTACTATTACTCAATAGTTTTATTACTAGTAGCACATGATTTTAAGATTTAAACTACAGGGTTACTAATGCTACAGAGTAATTCAGTGATAATCACTAATGTATTATTAGTGTCTTCTAATGTCTTCTAATGAAGTACTGATGCAAATTATTTCCTAATAACAAGATAGATAAGCATTAAGATAGATAAGCATTTCTTATGATTTAGTATGAATTGTTTCATATTTTGTATTTTTCAACTAATTTATTGTTTGCCTTAGTTCGTTATAATGTTTAATTAAAAATCTAAGAGCAATCATATCGTTAGGGTTCGCTGATATACATTATAATAGTATCAGTCGCATTTCAATTGTCGTTGCGTCGCTTGTATCATTTGTCTATAAATATTGTCAATAAATATGCCATTAAATGTTGTTTGAACGATACAAGAGCATATTATAATCATGATTCAGTAAAGTATCGTTACAGCTCATTGGCACCACAAGTTTTAGTTTTAGTTCGATTATTCAGGTTTTAAGCAAGGGATAATGCGATATGAAAAAGGATGAAAAAAGGTGACCACTACACTGTTAAATCCGTAGTGTCAAATTATACTCAATTTGAGTTATTTTTAACCATTCCTATAAGTCGTCACTGCTCCTACTAAATATGTCGTTAATTTAACTAATGTAATGGAATTAAATAATTTAACTTAAGAAATGTATTAAATTTAACTAAAATTTAGTTTATTTTTTATTATGTGCACGTTTGTACACAACAATGTAACCTTTGTTTTAGTAAAAAATGACAATATTGTTTTAAATGGGTTGATTAGATGTGGTTGTTTTTTTAAACACATATTTTGTGTTAAAATAGTAAATGTTGACACACATGATAGTTAAAAATGACTAAATATTATTTAACTCAAAAAATTGGTTTAAATTTGACCCTCCAATATTTAACAGTGTATAAGATCGAAACGCAAAATATGAAATACTAAATTTTTTATTATTTAAATTTTATTAATCATGTATGTTACCGTGCACAGCTCCATGCATAACTTCATAAATGTCAGCGTATACAAAATCATTTACACAATCAAAAATCGTGTGACGAGTGTTTAACGACTTAACAATGACATTATTTTCGTTAATAAAGCGCTCGTCACACAATCCTCAAAAATAATTAAATATTAAATTGTTCCATTCTGATAGGTCAATTTGTGGAAATTTAACAGAAAATGTACTATATATAATAATTTGCCAAATAATCACTGAATCACTGAAAAATGACTCATCACTATTATTTTTTACTAATTACTATTATTAGTTACTAATTACTAGTAATATTTTTCTATAAAGGGGTGTATGGAATCGTGCATAATAATATACATGAGTTGATTATGAAGGCTATATTTTTTATACGCTTCCATGCACTAATCAACGATCAATTTTCATATCAAAGCCGATATGAAATATACTTCGAAATATATCAGTGAGTAAATATCTGTGAGTAAATATCTGTGAAATATATTGGGAGTACAAATAAGTCTCCGCCGTTTGACAAAAGATGGCCCCACCAATAAGTTATGGTTGAAATTGGTTTAAATGTTGTTATGTAAAACGTCATATCGTAAGGTTGGACATCTGGCAACACCATAATCTTGAAATGTTAGCGATTTTGTATCAGCATCACATAATTTTTTTCGTGCGAAAATGTCGAGTTTTGAGCCGAATAAGCGTCATTTGCGGGAACTTTTGATTTACTTGTTTAATTTGAAGAAATCTGCAGCTGAGGCGCATCGATTGCTTGTAGAAGCATTTGGTGAGGCTGCTTTAAGTGAGAGAAGTTGTCATGAGTGGTTGCAAAAGTTTAAGAACGGTGAGTTTGACGTCGAAGACAAAGAACGTAGCGAAAAGCCAAAAGTGTATGAAGACGCGGAATTGGAAGCATTATTGGAGGAAGATTCGTGCCAAACGCAAGAACTTGCACTTACATTAGGAGTGACTCAACAAGCAATTTCACATCGTTTAAAATCGTTGGGAATGATTCAAAAGCAAGGAAATTGGGTTCCATATGAACTGAAGCCGAGAAACGTTGAACGCCGATTTTACACATGTGAAATGCTGCTTGCCAGGCATTAACGGAAGGGGTTTTTTTGCATCGTATAGTCACTGGTGATGAAAAATGGATCCACTACGATAACCCAAAGAAGAGGAAATCATTGGGACCCAAAGAAGAGGAAATCATTGGGACCACGTGGCCATGCTTCAACATCGACAGCCAAGCCGAATATTCATGGAAAAAAACTCATGTTGTGTATTTGGTGGGATCAGCTTGGTATCGTGTATTATGAGTTGCTCAAACCGAACGAAACCATTACTGGAGCTCTCTACCGAACACAATTGATGAGATTAAGCCGAGCACTCAAGGAAAAACGCGCCCATTACTACTCCAAACATGACAAAATTATTCTCCTGCATGATAATGCTCGTCCACATGTTCCGGCGCCGGTCAAAACCTACTTGCAAACACTCAATTGGGAAGTTTTACCCCACCCGCCGTATTCACCAGACATTGCTCCCTCTGACTATCACTTGTTTCGATCGATGACGCACGGCCTGTCTGAGCAGCACTTCACATCATATGAAGATACTAAAAATTGGGTCGATTCGTGGATAGCCTCAAAAGATGAAGCGTTCTTTCGACGCGGTATCCGTATGCTGCCAGAAAGATGGGAAAAAGTAGTGGCTAGCGATGGACAATACTTTGAATAAAACATAAGGTACCGTTCTTTCACAATAAATGCCCAATTTTTGATAAAAAACGGCGGAGACTTATTTGTACTCCCAATATCTGTGAGTAAATATCACGTTATTGTGTCATAACTAATGTAATTTCGATGCTTTACAGCGTATAACATGTTTTTTTATACGCTTCAACTAATACAACTGATTATTTATACGCTATTTATTAATTTTTTATACGCTTCAGTTAATTTATTCCTTGCTCTACATTATTATTAGTTTGATGGCAAGTTATGAATTGATACGTTGTGAATTATATGAAAAAATAAAGCCTTTACAGTCAACGAAATCATGTATATTACCATGTATGGCTCATGAGGATCGTGTGACGAGCGCTTTATTAACGAAAATAATGTCATTGTTAAGTCGTTAAGCACTTGTCACACGATTCTTGATTGTATAAATGATTTTGTATACGCTGACATTTATGAAGTTGTGCATGGAGCTGTGCACGGTAACATACATGATTTCGTTGATTATGGAGGCTTTATTTTTTCGTATACACTTTCATACGTGCACCAATCAGTGATCAATTTTCATATCGAAGCTGATAATATGCTTTGAAATTGTTTGTGAATGTAAATATCACATATATCGTGTCATAACTAACATATCAAATTATAAAATAAAACATTAAATAAAACAATAATAATAATAATATAGAACAAGAAGCAAATTATCGTGTTAATTGGAGCGTATAAAAAAGAAAACGTGTTATACACTGTAAAGTATCGAAATTACGTTGATTATGATACGATGATGTGACATTTATACTCATTAATGATTTTAAAGCATATTATCGGCTCCGATATGAAAATTGATCGCTGATTAGTGCATGCATGAAAGCGTGTACGAGAAAAATATAGTCTAATGAGTAATAGTATAATGATAATGGTAACAAGTTATTTTTTTCAATATGTAAGGAATAACGAGTTACTTTCTTCAATAAGTAACGAGTAATAAATTACTTATTAAAAATAACTTTCCCAATCTTGTCTTTAATAATTGTATTGTATATACAGGAAATATAAGTAGAGGAATGTTTTTAAAGATTAAATTTATTAAGATCCTTTATTTCCTATTTTTTATAGCATCGTTTATACTTTCGATCCCATTTTTCCTCTTCCTTATTTTTCTTCTATATATGATCAGTGAAAAAAAGGATCGTTATACTTTTTTTTCGATGTATTTCAGAACATATATAGAATTAAATAGGAAAGAAGTTATTTTTAATAATTCTCAGAGGATATACTTTTCTATTAGATACTGGATATACATATTCTGAAATTCATTAGGATAAATATGTTGCAATCTTTTTTCCACTGAATATAGTATTTTTGTCTGAACTTAAGGTATCCCTTGAAGTGTCTGTTTCAATATTTCTAGGATGATTTTCTTTAATTTTCTATTTTACACTCCTTTACGTAATCGTTTCCTATAAATATAAAGAGTATCTTGTTCATGAATCCACATTCTATTTTAGAACCGGGTTTGTCACGTTATTTCAGAGGGCCTATTCCTTGCCGGTACGAACGCACACTCCGACCTCGCAGAATCGCGTTAATTTACGTCGAAGCGTTAGAAACGATCCGCCACCGCATCCGGCACGTCTGGACAAGCATCGCCGTGGTTGGACGCTGCACCTGGCTCGTCCCCTCAAGACATCCGGATGCTCCTGCTCGCTTATACCCTTGCTGATTATCGTATTAATTCTACTGGGAATCGCAGGGGTTGCATTGTACATCGTTTTCGGTAGGTACACTTTCTCATTTATGTCGCTTTATGTTTAATATTATTAATTTTTATCATACCGAGTCCTTATTTGTTGAGTGACTAATGCGAAATTTTCGAACGTTATTTTGTCGTAAACTATAATTTAGCTAAGCTAATTGTAAATTAACTTTTCTATCAAGTTTTTTGATAGGCTAGTAAAAAGATCTGAATTGCTATTAGATGGAAAAATGAGACTAAAAGATTTATTAATTGTTATATTGCTTTTCCAAAATATATAAGAGATTTTCCCGACTATAGCTTATCGTATTTACATACTATCATGTGTATAAAAAAATATATGATAAAAGATATTTTAAGATGTTTGTTCTTTATTTTTTTATTACACTATTAAAAATAAAGCTACTTTTTATTCCAAAATCTTTTATTTTATTGTGTAGCATATGATAACGATAACTTATTGAATGTCTGATGGTAAGCTAGAAATAAGATTATTAGATATATATTTGTCAATCACAGTATGATATCATATGATCAATATGATTCAGTCCAAGAGTTAATCGCATGATCGAAACGTTTATTTATTTATCCTAGTAGTTTAATTCATCTTACACTTATGTTAACTGTACATTGACTTATCTTCCACGTTGTTATACTAGAGCGTTCGCAAAATACTCAAATTCTGTTGCGTAACATACATTACGCTCATTTATCTTTTAATAGTAATAAAACTAATTTTTCTGTTGAAATGTTGTACTTCATTTCAAATATCTTAATACCGATTTTATTTACTCTGTTCAAATTTATTATAAAAAAAACAAGTTTGACTAATAACGACAAAATGTACAATTCCGATAAGAAGTATCACTATATTTTGTATAGCTTATTGTGCACTCTATATGATTAGTTGGATTTGACAAGTGCAGAATTATACCAGAGAGGAATTACCAAACAGGAATTATCAGAAAAGACGTTCAAGATGTGTAGAAGCAAATCTTTCTCAAATTTATGTATTGTGTTTTTAAGTTTTTATTTTAATCTATTATTATAGAGAAATAATTATAAAACAGAACATCCGACTAATTCATTCAATTGTATATGTGTACGACAGACTTTTTTGTCCAGATAGACGGTATATAAAGACAACAACTTTACTAGTCGATTTGTAAAAATTGCATTATTTATGAATGGTTCATATAATACTCATATTTAGCATGTAGAATGAGCTACCACTGAGCTACCTGACGCTCCACTCATGACACTCTCCTCACCTGACTCATGACACTCTCCTCTCCTTAGATAACGCTCAGAGATGCCGTTCGGAAGTGATATCTCCGGTGCGATCCCGAGCGCACGGTGACTACAGAGAGAAACATTGTTATTGTATCAAATGGTACAGCTGTTAATTTCTCAAAGTCAAAGGTTGCTATCCTTTAAGATCTGTTGTCCATATATGCCCGTTTCTACCGTTGCCCCTCCTCAACCGGTGCAATAATACAATGTAGAATGACAATATAAAAATTCTAAATTCGAAAGAAATACAAAACGTAATACAAGGTATCATGTAAAGTGTAATATGAAAGTTTGAATGTAATATTTAATAAATCTGTTGCTGCACCAATATAACAAAAAAGATCTATTGTTGTGTAATATAAATTTAATAAATTGCGCTCATTAATTTTTTTAATAGTAATAAGAGACTAATTTTTCTAAAATAAAAATCGATGCAATTCAATTGTTCCGCATAATGCTTGTTTAATTTTAACATAAACTGTTTTATTAATTAAGTTTCAATTTAAATTTATATTAGAATAAAAGTCAACTTACATTAAGTCGATAAATAAACGTCTTTAGAATGAATTGTGTCACACCATTATCATTTTTGATTGATTTGTTTTACATAATTTTATTGAAAAATATTATCAACATCTTATCCGAAATTAAAATCTCATGAACAAGGTAACTATCAAAAAATGTCTGCGCAAACTAACTTTCTAAACGATATTTATTTGTGGTCAGTATCGATATGAAAATTCCCGGACAGAAATACTAAACTAATAGAAAATATTTAATCTATACCTTATAATGTTATTATAAAAATAGCATATGTTTAAAATATGCTTATTTTAAGAAATATTCATTTATTATGCTATAATTTTAATAAAAATGTTTACTTCTTATTACTACAATAATTGCATATTAATTGTATTCCTTTTTCGGCTTTTCTTATTGTATAAAGACGCATTTCTGCGTATACTGCTACCCAGCAAACAAGATGACATCAAATGACGTCTTAATGATGTATTATTAACGTCTCTAACGTCAATAATACGTCACTAAGACGTCATTTGATGTCATTGTTTGCTGGATAGCCACTGAGCAGAAAATCTATCAAAATATATCTATCTAATTTATATCCTTTTACAAGTGTTACAATCTTATGAATCACATCTGACTTGATCTTGTCATATGTTTAGAGTTTCTTTCTCAACGAAAAGTAATTTTAATAATATAGAGATGATGACTTTTTTTTAACGACAAGATTTAATCTCAATATTTCATCGTTTAGATTTTATATTGAGAAAGCGAAAAGAATGGTAAGACACCTTATATGGTAATAAATGATGCATTTGCTAATGTCGGCACTATCGTCTTATCACTCGAGCAATTAAAAGTATTTGCATCCAGCTCGCCAGCAACGGGAAAGACTGACGGCTGAGGTTTAATTCGACGAAGCGTAGCAATTGCTCCAACGAGATGAATTTAACCGCGGGGTCAACAGAATGTTTCCTTCGACCGTAGTTCGCTCGCTCACGCGGTCGATTGAGTTGAAGCGCGGTCACGTAGTATAAGTGCGTCGTCGTGCACGATGAAAAGTGGCAAAAGCCAATGACCGTCTGTCTCTCGGGAACGACTGAGGTATATCTGCAATCCTGAAAGTTCCAAAGAAAGTTTTCGAATTGTTCTTCGCACCCTTCCAAATAAAATGAGGACTATAGCGAATTCTAAACTAGCGATTCCTACTTCGAGAATCATGAAACCTACTCAGATAAACTTTCATTATTATTGGAACGTGAGACAATCGATAAAAACTTTACAATTACTTAAATTTATGAAACAAATATATATTGTATTTAATTAAATACATTAAATTTATATTATATAATGACAAATTTTTTTTGTTATATTGATGCAACAAGAGATTTATTAAACATTACACACAAACTTTCGCATTACGTGATACGTGATACTTTACGTGATACGTTGTATTATGTTTCGTATTTCTTCTAAATTTCGAATTTCTATTTTGTCATTTTATATGATAAATATGGATTAAGTATCATGATAAATAAGTATCATATGAACTATTCATAAAGGATGCAATTTTTATAAATCGTCTAGTAAAGTTGTTGCCTTTACATACCGTTTATCTGGACAGAAAAGTCTGTGGTACACGTATAAAATTGAATGAATTGGTTGGAATGAGCTGGATGCAAATACTTTTAATTGCTCGAACGATAAGACGATAGTGCCGACATTAGCGAATGCATCATTTTAATAAATGATATTTCATATAAATGATAATTCATATAGGGTATCTTACCATTCTTTTCGCTTTCTCAATATAAAATCTAAACGGAATTTTGTTTTATAATTCTTTTTTCTCTATAATAATAAATTAAAATGAAAACTTAAAAACACAATACATAAATTTGAGAAAGACACGCTTTTACATATCTTGAACATTCTCTCTGATAATTCTTCTTTGGTGACTCCTCTCCGGTATAATTCTGCATTTATCAAATCGGACTAATGAGTGTACAATAAGCCATACAGAATATAGCGATACTCCCTATCAAAATTGTAAATTTTGTAATTATTGATAAACTTGTTTTTTTTATAATAAATTTGAACAGAGTAAATAAAATCGGTATTAAGATATTTGAAATAAAATTCAATATTTCAACAGCATGAACTTTCTCCCTAATTTTCATACAAAATTTGTTTTCGTGGATAAATATTTGAGAGAAGCGAGGTTTTTGTTTGAACTTTTTAATTTGCAAAAGAGTACAACAAAAGTCCTCAGTACAACTAGTTCATATTTCCGTTTCCAGAAGAAACACGATAAAGGATTTCTCTTTTCTGGCTGGATGACTGAGCGTCACGCCTTTTCTTTACAGAACCAGAAAAACTTCAAATCATCCAGCAGTACCTGAAATCGTCGACGAACAATTTGACGGAACAGAACGTTACATCCGGCGAGTCGTTCACGCCCGTAATTTCCAACGATGAGCCGAATTTGGTAGATACAACCGATACTTCAACAACTGTGACCACGATGATGACGAGTGTCGACGCGTTCACCATGAGTGCCCTTTTAAAAGGCGACCCATCATTTCCGGAGATCTCTTCGCCGTCGACCAACGCGGAAATGAAAAATGCGAGTCAGAACGTTAATGCGACCAGATATTGTGACGACTGCTACGAAGGTGAAGTGTGCGTTGCCCTTGTTGACGAGGAAGTGCCGATATGCAGAATCCCCCATGACTCTGAGGATCCCACCGGATGTGCCGGTTTCTGCACCGTCAATAAGCAAAAATGCCATCGTCTCGATGTGGACGCTTTCAGGTTCGTCGATACCTATTATTGATCAATTCCATCGCTATTACTTATCATTCATGAATTATTCGATGATAATTGACATTTTTTTAATGAGAAGGATGTTTATCAGCCATATCCAGTAACAAATAATAACAAGTATCAGTAATTAGTATCAGTAACAAACAGTAACCCTCGCATGATCATTATCATTTTTGTGGATGACCAAGTGGGGGTTCCGGAGAACTCCAACAGATCTTTATAAAAAAACTTTTTAAGTCTTTATAAATCAAACACTTCTTGAGAATTTAACATAAAAATTAGAATATTAAGGTTTTTGGGGCTAGAAATTCAAAATAGCCGACAAAATATATTTGCGGAAATGGAATCACATAAATCATATTTTTTACAAAAATATAGATATAGATAGTTTTCTGATTACGAATCCGTTGTCCAAATAGGAAAATTCAAAATGCAGGATACAAAGTTGACAAAAAAGAAATCGAAATGTTATATCTAAAAAGAAAAAACTTATTCTTGCCTCGCGCGTTCTCCTTAACACGTTGATTGCCAACTACGAGATAAATCGTAGTTAGCCTTCTTGGTTGGGCGACTACAATTTATCTCGTAGTTCTTTCATGGTCTGTCCATATGATTAAATCAAAATGGCTTCTGAGATCGGAATTCTGAAAATTACCGTGGCAGTCAACGTGTTAATCAGCATACAATGCTTTTAAAAAGTTTTTTAAATATTTATTTTTCATTGATATTACATTGCGCAAATTATTGTATCAATAATATTTATTTAATGTTTATTAAATATTTATATTACATTATTTATTCATTAAATATAATGATTTCAAAAAAATATTTTTATAACGTTTATTTAACGTTTATTTAATATTTCTATTGCATTAATTCTTCATTTAAATTAATGATTTAGAAAAAATATTTACATAATATTTAACATTTATTTAATATTTATTTTATATTAAAACATTATTTAAAATAATGTTACGTATAATAAATAACATGCATATGTTAAAATAATGCGCGTTAAAATAATATTTAAACACTATGCATTCAATATTGATTAAACATTCATATTACATTTATTATTAATTTAAAATAATAATTTAGAAAAATATTTATATAACATTTATTTAACATATATTTAACATTTAGATTGCATTAATTCTTTATTTAAAACAATATTTAGAAAAGCATTTATTTAATATTTATTAAACATTTATATTACATTAATAATTCATTCCAAATATTCCAATAATATTAAACCTTTGGAAAAGCTACTCATTCAAAAAGCTCATTTAAAAAGTAGAGGAAGGAGTGGTATTATGGCCAGTGTAGATATAATAATTCCTCTTGATATCTTCGCTATTAGCTGGAGGATTTTTAGGATGACTTATAAAATTATTAGTTTAGCAGCCCGCAGTTACGCAATAACACTACCCTGGTAGCACAGAGATGAATAGAAGTTTATAGAGAATTTATTTTTAAAAAATACTCCTAAAGAATTAGCAAAATGAATATCTGAAGAATTCCTGAAGAATTAACCGAGTCTATTATTCTAATTTATTCTAAAATATTCCTCGGAAGTTCATCATAATGAATACTTCGCGAATCGTTACATAGGATACTCTAAGAATTCGTGAGAAATTATTAGCTAATTTCGTTTACATTTTATGGTTACATTAGACAGATACTCTATCGCTTAGTATCTGGTATCTAGTAAGAGCGTTGATTTTTATATATTTATACATAAATTTAATTAATTTAATTAAATCTTATATATATATATGTGATAAGATGAATTTTTCTTTTTTTTAATTGTATTCTTTTATAATTACTCAAATTTTATAATATTTTATAACTTTGTTTACTTAATAACAGTTAACAGTAAAAAAATTTTACTATAAAAATTTAAAGGTAATAAAATGAAATGTGCGGGGTTTCGTAGACTTTATCTTACTAGTTAAGGATTAAATTAGCGATAAAAGTACGAAAAATAATTATATAATAATTTTTATTAAACTCAAATTATATTTTATTAAATCATATTATTAAAAATTATATTACTGCATTAATTACAACATATATAGACAAAATATAAAACATATGTTGATTGAAGAAATGTAATGCCTAAAGCAATAAACTCAATCCACAGAAGTGCCTTCAGCTACAAGTTCGAATCCCCCTCTTCCGGTACTAATAAAACTTTTTAAATATGACATAACATTTAGAATAAAATAATTTAACCCTTAGCTGGCACATTCGCCATAATAACACATAGCTGGCACACTGAGCTATTTGAGACCCCAATCACTAAAATGCTTGCTGCGTGAAGCTATTGATGTTTTTCACTTGAAAAAATTCCAAAATAGTTTTCAAATATCGACTTAAAAGATATCATAGGTTATTTTGATAAAATGTAATACTGAGTATGAAAAAAAAATTCGAAAACGTAAAAAAACGAAAAAATAACTGTTTTCACTAAAAAATTCATAACTCTTCCATTTTTTCATATTAAGAACTAAAAATTTAACTTTATATTCTTGAGATATAATACTTTAAGGAAAAAATATTTTAATAGTCGTTTATATTTTGAGGCCGTTTCAAAAAAGGTATTTATTTGGAGTGTTAAAAAGACGAATTTCAGCCAAAAAAATATTACTTATTTTTTCAAAATATACTTGTTTATTTATTAGATATGAGTAAATTTTACTTGATTAATTTACAAAAATTATCCTCACGATCTTCCTCGAGTAGCTGTAGGCGAGCTGTAACTGATATTCCATCGAATAAAACCGGAATAATATGATACATTCTTGAAAAAAAGAAACAATTAAATACCATACAACATTATGTATTTATCTTTTTTTACGCCTTGATGACAAACACCAATAGGAAAAATTTAGAAAAAATTTCGAATAATTATAGTTGGCACACTGGGCTCTCTGATAGCGCTACTTCATTTCACTCGAATATCATAGCTAGATTGACGCTAGAATTACGCTAGGTAATCTAGGAGAAAGAGGGTTCCTTGGACAAACAATAAATGATGGCACAAGTATCATTTTCGCACTATTGGGGAGAGTAAATTGAAGCTGAATTAAGTTAAATTAAGCTGGTGCCCCAGAGTGCCAGCTAAGCGTTAAATTTCAAGTAAGATCAATGAATGTTGACATTTACGAAGTTTCTGTTAGAAAAATACATATTAATATATAAAAAAATTATTTTAAGTATTTAAACAAATATTTTTATATTTCTCTAGACATAAAAACAAACGTTTATTAAACATTACAAAAACATTTTCCTAAATGTTCAAACAAATATTTATCAAATATTAAAAACACATTTTTTTAAATGTTAAAAAAACGTTTTTTTTTTTAATGAGAAAAAGGAACTTATCCCATTATTTTTAGAAACGTTTTTTTAAATATTTTTTAAAATGTTTTTAAAATATTATTTTACTAGTTGGGTCGATATATCCAAGATCGCGACGTGAATGCAGTGAGACGATAGTTTATTATTTGTTAGTTATTTTTTTCTTATATTTTTTCTATATCTTATATTTTTTGTTTTCTGATTTTTCGTTACTTTTTGTTTTTTTATTTTTTTATTTCTTCTTTTTTATTGTTCTTTAGTTTTTTCAACTCTCATTTTATTATTATAAATTTTTTATGTTAAATATATTTTCTCCATTCATTGTCAACTTATAAGTGTTTTAAAGTTGTAATATATTTAAAGTTGTTTATCTCATACCTTATAAACTTCACAAACAAAACCTAGAAAAAATAAATAAGTAAAATAAATAAAATAAATCTATAAAATAAAATAAAAAATAAAATAAAATAAAATATAATAAAATAAATCTATATATTTTGGAAAAACTGTTTGCTTTTTTTTACAAAAATCCTAATTTCGATATTCAAAATAAATACCTTTTTTGAAAATCCTGCTATTGTACTAATTTCTTTCTTAAAAAGATATGTCTTGAGAGTAGTTTTTTTAAATTTTACCTTGAAAAATATCAAAAATTGTGTCAGTTATGATTTTTTGAGCAAATCAAGTCATTTTTCACGTTTCTTAGACTTTCCAAATTTTTTTCTTCATTTAAAATCAAATTTCGTTTAGAACAATTATTCTGTCATATAAACATATATTTCAAATATATCCTGGAATTTTTTCAAATAAAAAAAGCGAATAATTTTATTGCAGCATTTTTGTAACTGGGGTCGCGGAAGACCCCAGTGTGCCCATTATGCGATTCTACTGAAGTGTGCACAATAAGGGTTAACAATTTTTTTTTAAATAAGCAACTGAAAATTATAAGATTTCTTTTTAATTTTAAATTAATCTAGTTATTTAAATATAATATAAATATAATGAATCGGTTGATATTATTAATAATAAAACAAAATAATAATAATTAATAATAATAATTAATAAGAAAAAAATATATTGATAAGAGTATAGTTACAATATAAGTGGCAATTTTGATCTTACTAATGTAGAATGCAGTGGAATGTTGAAAAAAAATGAGGACGAGAAATTATAGCAGCTATTGAACAAAAATCCTTGCGAGACGCAGTAAGAATTTATTAAGAAACTCAGTATAACTCAATAAGCTATTTTCGTTCGCTTAAAGAAGCTTGAAAGAATACAGAAGGCAGGGTGTTGAGTCCCTCATGTTTTCAGCTTCAAGAAACAAAGTGAGACGCTGTGACACGGCAATGTCCCTGCTGTCACGATTCAAACAAAGGATTTTCTTCAGGAAAAGGATTTTTTTCATAAAATTGTAACGGGGGATGAAAAGTGGATATTATACGATAAATCCAAAAGATGTAAATAACGAGTTTATCTCGTGAGCCATGTTAAAAAAGTGTTCCTGTGTATTTGATGAAATTTCAAAGATGTTCTTTATTATGAGTTGCTCAAACTTGATGAAGCTATTCCAAGCGTTACCAACAACAGATGAATAATTTGAATCACGCAATTGAGCAAAAAGAACCATTTAACGGCAATGGAACTAGACAGGTAATTCTGCTGCACGAAAATGCGTGGTCATAGGATAAACTCGGATAAGACGGCCATACATTTTTAAAATGCAAGAAAGATATATTTCTTATTATTTTTTAATAGCGTTTAGCATATTACTTCACTGAAGTCTACAGTACATAATACCATCAGAGTTAGAAGGAAAATACTTCAGTAAAATTATTTATTACAAAAATATCAAAACAAGCATTGGATATCTTACACTGATAAGAGGACCGCATGTATCTGATGTCACGGATTTTGATGAAATTTTTTTGAGTTATTCTACAACACTAATATACATTCTGTGTAAAAGGATTTTTGTCAATACCTTTTTCGGAGAAAAAAATTTTACGAGCGCCTTATAGACCAGGCGTGTGACGAAAATCTCAAGTGCTTCAGTGGCCGCGGTGGTTAAGGCACGGCGTCATCTTTTTGGCTCGATTTGGCTCTTTTGTTCAATCTCCGGGCCATCCAATTTTTTTTCGTTTTATTGTTGTTTTTTTTTATTCAAATTGTAAGACAAGGACACAATAAATACAAAAGTACGAAAAAGGAATATATTAAACATGATTATAAATAACAAAATATTAAGAAATATGTTGCATGAAATTATGTTAATATTAAAATTATATTAATCTTATGTTTCATTTATATTTGACGTTGTTTCCTCTATTCTTTGAAATTTCATATAGTGTTTGTTTTACTTTATAAATTTCTAACGTAAATTCCAAAGGAAAGGAATAGAACGGTCCAAGATAGTTTTAAATCCTGCAACGGTTGTCTTTATTTGGGCGAACCTGAATATCGGAACACGTGAAATATTCTAGTTTGGCTTACGCACTCGTATAAGAAATCTCTCTAATAATTTGAATGTTAACGAATCATTTAGTAATATATTTAAATTACATCTAGAAACGGTCAGTCGTAGATTTATTATAGACTGAGTACCGGTTGTTACATTATTTAAATGAGAGAGTTTAGACGCGGAATGCGAGAAATCAGATGCGTTACCGATTTTCGTATTAGATTTACAGAATATGGAGAATGGTAAACGTGTTGTAACTTGTATGAGGTAATTTTCTTGCGCCAAACTATATATTACCCTTTTTTAACCAGTTTTCAAAGTAAGATGTTCAAACTAAGCTCACATGCATCTGACAATGTTAACGCGTGACTTCTCAAAAGCTGTATACTGGAGATAATCGTTAAATTTGAAGCGATTTTACCGTTTCATTTCTTACACTCATAGCAAATAGACGCAGTTTTGTGACAAAAGTAAGTAATCGTAAACGGCCATGGATCTGCTAACTATCTTGGATCATTCCGTTCCTTTTCTTTGGAATTTACATTAGAAATTTATAAAGTAAAACAAACACTATATGAAATTTCAGAGGATGGAAAAAACAGCGTCAAATATAAGTGAAACATAAGATTAACATAATTTAATTTTAACATAATTTCATAAAACATATTTTTAAATATTTTGTCATTTATAATCATGTTTAATATATTCCTTTTTCGTACTTTTGTGTTCATTGTGCCCTTGTCTTACAATTTGAATGAAAAAAATAACAATAAAACGAAAAAAAAATTGGATGGCTCGGGGATTGAATCCGAGCCAAAAGGTGACATACTGCGCCTTAACTATCGAGGCCACTGAAGCACTTGAGATTTTCGTCACTCGCTTGGCCCATATAGCACTTGTAAATTTTTTTCTCCGAAACGAAGAAATATTAACAAAAATCCTTTTGCACAGAATGTACATTAGTATTTTAGAATAACCCAAAAAAAAGTTCATCAAAATCCGTGACATTAGGTATGTACGGTCCCCTTGTGAGAGAAAAATGTCATAAAATGAAAAAACATATTTCATTATATTTTTTTAATATCAAATTTGCTGATTGAAATAAATATTTATCTCGTTTAAAAAAATATTTTGTAATATGAAATAATTTATGAATTGAATTACAAAATAATGATTATTACTTATTATTATTATGATTATTATGAATTGAATTACAAAATAATTATTACTTAAAATCAAATTTTTTTAATTTTTTAAATTTTTTAAATAAAATATGCATTTAAAAATAAAAAAGATATATATTACAATTTAATAAACCGGTTTTCTCTTTAAATAAACAGCTGAAAACAATGAAATTTTTTTTAATTTGAAATAAATCTGCTTGTTTACATATAATGTATGAATTGGTTGATATTGTTTATTAATAATAAAAAATATATTGTTGAAAATATAATTACAATATAAGGAATTATTATTAATAAAAATAAAATATATTGTTCAAAGTTATAATTTAAGAAAGGTGTATTCAACAAATTTGATATAAAAAAAATATATTTTTATATTACGAGATTTTTCTTTAGAAAAATAAATAAGGACTAGAAGTTTACGTAGAAATCATAAAAATAATCATCGTGTGAAAAAATATTAAAATTAAATCATTTTATTAAATTATATTATCAAAAAATTATATTACTGTGTTAATTATAACACATAATAGACATATAGACAAAATATTAGACTTTTATATCGATCGAAGAAGTGTAGTGACTAAAGCACAAGACTCATAATCTCAGAGATGCCTCCAGGGTCCAAGTTCGAGTCCCATCAGTGCCAGTGAAAATTTTTAAATATGATGTAACGTTGAAATCAAGTAATCTAAAGTTTTCAAGTAAAATCAGCAAACATATACCTCAGGAATACTTTAGGAATTCATTGTGCTATCTTGAGTACGTTATTAATCTAAAATACTTGTTATTTGAGATAAGAAACATACTTTCTTCCTTTAAAAAACTTATTTACTTGTTTTGTTTAAAAAAATATTTTATTTTTTTAAAGAAATTATTTATTATTATTAAAATTACAATATTTGGATTTAAGAAGACTTTAAATTAAAATCTAAAATTTTTTAAATTAAATATTAAAAGATATTGAAATAAGTATTTCTTTACTTTATATTAAAAATTTGTTACTTTTAACAAAAATTTTGTAATGTATACATAATTCTTTATAATGTATACATATTTTATTTAAATATATTTAATATTATATTGAAATAAATATTTAATTAAACGTATTGAAACAAATTGTTTTTCTAATTCAAATAATATTTTTTTAAAATCATTATATTTTTCTTTCAGTGTACCTAAATGTTTCAGATAAAATGACCATAAGGGAATAGATGGCCCATAAATATTTTATGTTCAAGTTTCTGTATCTATTATTTTATAAATTAATAAAAAAACATAATTTAACATATTTATTTTAATATAAGATATTTAATACATATTATTTGTGAAAAATATAATGCACATATAAAATAGAAACTTCTATTATTCATATAAAATAAAAACTTAAATTCTAAATAATTTTATTACAATTCTAAATAATTTTATTACAAAAATTAAATTCTAAATGCAATCTTTTGATCAAAATATATTGATTTAATAACTTAAGATTTAATTACTGTGATATTGAAAGTAATTTTTGAAACATAATGACTTTCGTTCTATAAATGTTCAAATATTTAGAATGAGAATGGGCTATCTTATCCAAAATGTGAGTAAAAGACGGTCATAGTATTTATAATAGTATTTATAAACAAATAATGAAAACGGAAATAAAAATACATTATGTTATATTACAACTTACATATCTAATTCACATATCTAACGTTGATTGCGGTAGCTGAACTGTAATTTATTCGACGTTATAGTAAGTTTTAGTGGACACATGAGAAATTTTATAGGCAATCGAAAATAAAAATATAGCATAATATTCATAATCTTGCTATTTCGAAAAATGTACACACATACACTATGATAAGTATCGATTATCTTTGTGACTGATTACATAAACGCAATGTTTTGTAATTATTAGAGAAATTATAGTCTATGGCCATTTTTCTGGTATGGCCATAATACCTAAGTTTACCCTATGACGAAAGCAATCGTAGAAATCATCTTTTCTCTGATTTGGAAAATTCTTCTTCATGCGGTTTATTCTCAGACTTTGTCTTCTCGGATTCTCATTTGTTCCGATCACTGCAGCATCACTTAGTCTATTCCTATTTCGAATTTCTCTAATGTTCTGTGATTTCTAAAAACTTAAACTGTGTAGCAAAAATAAAAAAATAGTATTGTACTACAGTACAATACTAGTTGTTATGAATTACAATTCATAACAACTTTAAAAATATTTTATACTCTTGATGTACACTATAAAAGTTCAAGTTCTCGAATGCCAGCGAACAGATCTTTTTGTCATTTTCAGTAATTTATTTTTCACAACGAACATATAATAAAATACGTCAAATATTATATGTACAATTCGATGAAAAATATGTCATCATTTTATTTCTTAAATGACTATTTGAAATCCACCGATTTAAATGTTCTAATTTAGATAACAAATTAATAATTAATAACCTCAGATTTGAATAAATATTCTTGAGAGTGTAGGTTACGTAAATTTCATAATTTCAAGTCGATTATATTAGGTCCGCCATTTTCAATTCTCTAATTTAGACAATGAGTTCGTAATTAGCAACCTAAAAAATCTTTATATAATGTATAATATTAATTATATTATTATCTCTAATTATAATATTATATTAATTAGAGAGAAAGCACTTCATACAATGAAGTTATATATTTCATTTTATTGTTTATTGTCTGCTAAAGATGCGTAAAGATAGAACATCACTGTCTGGAGAACGAGTTTACGTGTTCTAACACTTTGTGTATCCCTATGGAGAAGCATTGCGATGGTCACATGAACTGTTATGATCATTCGGACGAATACGATTGTGGTAAGTGAAATTAATCCTTTGCGGCATGATAGGGGTAGCTCAGCGACCCACTTTTTTCTCTTAGTTTGTTATTATTTTATTTACGAATTTCTTGACATTAACCCTCCAGTAAGATAATTTTTTTGAAAAATCCTTTAAAAAAATATATATAAGTACGACGGTAATGAAGCCAAAGGAACAGAATAAAAGGAACGGACGCAGCTTACACTGGGAAAAGCATATTGAAAAACACTTGCCCGCGGAAATTGTGGGATGCGCAAAAAAGAGCCAAATTTACAGCCCGCGTAAATCACGAGTTAAGCAGCTGGAGGGTTAATTGCCGTTTTTTTTATTTTCATAGAGTTTCTGATACATATACAAGTGGTTTGTTTATTTCAGTTGTACCGTTGAACAGATGCAATAAGTTAGAGTAAGAAAAAATATACTTGTCTTACTTCAACTTATTGCCTCAGTTCAGTAGTGCAGTTAAAAAAACAAACCAAAATGTAAGTAAAAGTAAGCAACCGTAAGTTTTTATTTGCATAATTACTATAAGTAAACAAATAGTCAAAATAGTCAAATAGTCAAGGTAATTAGGCACTTATTTAGGATACCATAAAGTATTTTTCAGAATTTTTAAGATTTTTTCTCTACATTGTTTTTTATTATAAATTTATAATTTAAAAAAAAAGGAAAAATCAATATTTTCTATTATAAATCTAAATAAATAGTTTGAATATCTCTTATAATATGTCGTGGGAATTTTTTGAGTCACTAAATCTTACTCTTAATAAAAACCAAAATTTTTAAATTTTTTAAAATTTAAGGTGGTATAAACTCGTATAGATTTTAAAATTTCGATTTTCTTTTGATTTGTAATCAGCGACTAGGAAAATCCCTAGGTACAAAGTTTAAAAAAAATCGATCTTAAATTTCAAAAATTCTATGACAAAAAGTTTAAAGACTAGAACAAGGAGAGAAGTTGTCTAAATCAGCTATTTTAATATGTATGATTTGACAACAGATAATACAATTTTATATACTATTATATTATACTACTATACTACTATACTACTATACTATAAATAATATTTCTCTCTCTTTATATAAGTTATACTTCTCTCTCGATTTATTTTCATACTTCGGTTCTTCAGCTTTTCCGAAGAAAAGTGAAATCACAAAAAAAGTGAAAACAAAAAATCTGTTTAAAAAGTGAAAGTAGCAAGTTTTGATATGAGAAACTTTATATCAAAAAATTTTCTCATTGTTATATGTAAAATTTTATTAATCATATAATTGCATAATTATTCTCATAAAATAATTGCATACATAATACTGTATTACTAAATAATTATATAATTCCGATAAAACGTTGTAACATTAAAAAACCGAATAAATTGTAATATCATATGATTATATTTTAAATATCATAAAGTGTTGCAAACTGGTCGCGTCTATTCGCGTGCGACTCGTTTCACATTAAAATATTCTATATATTGTATCAGTTCTATAACCTATAATTTTCTTTATATCAGCTTTTCTATTATTTGCTATTATAAAAGCTTCAGTTTATTGGTTTTTATATTGCTTTAATCGCATATTTTATGTACAAAACTGATGTGTAATTATAAGTTGTAACAATCCAATATTTTATCTGATCGGACAAGAAAAAATGATATAAATATACAGGGTGTCCCGCGTAAGACGTACGAAAAGAAAAATATAAGTAGAACAGATAAAAATTAACAAAAATTATATAGGCCATTTTTCAAACAACTACGTAAAATTTCGAGATATTAATTAAAATAGTTGGGCATATCAGTGCGCGGCGACACGGCAGGCGGGACATACGACTCGCCGCGGCCGGTGAAGAAAATGGACGATTGCTCGCGGGCCTATCTTATAGGCCACAGAGGTGGGCCGTTTGACATACTGAAATGAGTAGCTCCGTGTGTGCGTCCGTGTACATGTGCGTTCTTCCATTTTCTTCACCGGCTGCGACGAGCCGTATGTCCCGCCTGCCGCGTCGCCGCGCTCTGATATGCCCAACTATTTTAATTAATATCTCGGAATTTTACGTAGTTGTTTGAAAAATGATCTATACAATTTTTGTTCATTTTTATGTGTTCTATTTATATTTTTCTTTTTGTACGTCTTACGCGGGATACCCTGTTTATAACAAACTCCACTCTTATAATTTTAATACACGTGGATCATATTTAAATGTGCGCTTAGTTATATTACTAGACAGTGTTTAATATTTAATTTCTATTCAGAATTTACCGAATCTTTCATCTCGTCACTGTGTAATTTTTTTCGTCTAGTCATTAGATAAAACAGCGTTGAGTAAACCATATGTAGCTAATATAAAACGTTCACTACCGATTATACTAATCTAGCAGGTAAAGTGGCCGACTCAAGAGCCAGAGGTCTTAAGTTCAAATCGGAAGATAAAATGAATTTTTTCAATAAAATAGAAATAATACGTAATGAAGAAGAATTATAAGAAATCAAACTTCATTGGATCACTTTTTTCTAAAGAGAGAGAGAGAGAGAGAGAGAGAGAGAGAGAGAGAGAGAGAGAGAGAGAGAGAGAATAGATAAAAAATCTAATTAAAAAATTTATCTAGTTACTAGACATTCGATACAGAAATTCTGAGATAAGAAAACTGTCTAAAGATTATAAGGTATTCCCTGATATAGAGAAAAAGAGAAATCATCGAAGAGAAATAATTTTTTTGTTTTTGCTACCTAGTCACTATTTAGTACAGGCTATATAGTTACAAGTTATTTTTTGCTACCTAGTCACTATTTAGTACAGGCTATATAGTTACAAGTTATTTTTTTGTATCTAGCTACTGGCTAATTTTTCTGGTATACCCACTAGGAGAAGTGAGCGTTACATTCCTAGCTAGTATCTAACTAGTACTACTAGCTAGTAGCGATGTAAGACACAACTTTTCTGGGTTATTACTAGACAATCACTACATTTAATTTTTGCTCGGATGAACGGCGCTAGGCCTCGAGCTACTTCAACGGCTCGAGCATTTCTCCCTTTTTCACGCAATTTTCGACAATTAATTTCTCGAAAACTATTGTGAATAGGATAAACTCGGATAAGATGGCCATATTTTTTTTAAATGCAAAAAAAATACATTTTTTATTGTTATTTCTTAATAGCACTTAGCACATTATTTCACTGAAGCCTGCATTATATAATACCATCAAAGTTAACAGGAAAATACTTCAGTGAAATTATTTATTATAAAAATATTAAAATATGAGCATTAGCCATCTTACCTAAATGTTTAAGACAAGATGGCCATAAGGAATAGTTGACCCATACATATTTTATGTTCAAGATTCTGCACCTATTATTTAATAAAATAATGAAAAAAAAACATAATTTGACATATTCATTTTAGTATAAGATATTTAATATATATTATTTATGAAAAAAATATAATATATATATATATATAAAACAGAAACCTCTATTACAAAACTTAAATTTTAAATCCAATTTTTGATCAAAACATATTGCACATAAGATTTAATTACTGTAATATTGAAAGTAATTTTTGAAATATAATGACTTTTGTTTTATAAATGTTAGAATGATAGTGGGTCATCTTACCCAAAATGTGAGTGAAAGACTATTATAATAGTACTTATAAACAAATAGTGAAAACGAAAATAAAAATGCATGTTATATTACAATTTACATACATAGAGAAATTATAGCCTTTGACCATTTTTCTGGTATGGCCATTATATCCGAGTTTACTCTATCGTAAAACAGCACGGGACTTTCTTGCTCACTTCAATCTACGTTCTCGCAAAGTTTGATCATGATAGTCCGGGATATCTATACCCTGTATATCTGTGCTTATCTTTAACGTAGATATACATGTAATTTTTAAATTTGTAATTTTAAACATTCTGTTATTAGCAGTTTTAAATAAGCAGTTTTAAAATGAAGATATTTTTTATTATTATCTCTTTTTTTCAATTACTAAATTTTCTTCACAATAAATATATACTTTTTCACTAATTTTTTAACTTGTAAAATTGTATTTTATTAATTTTTGTAAAGTATATGATTTTCCTAACTTTTCTGGCAATTGGTAATAGAATATGATTTGACTGGACCTCTATATTTGTAGTACATTTTAATATAAAATTTTCTCCGTGTAATGATGTATCTTTTCCTCTAATGTGAACTTGCAGGTTGCGTTCCAATATTCATTACTAATATTGAAACTCTATAATATACGTGACACAAACTATAGATCTTTAGTATTGAATATCGGAACGCGGTCGTTATCATTGAACTTTATTGAATTTATCAATGAAATTGTTTTATTTATAAGTTCATGCTAGACGAAAAGATACATGATTGATTTCATGTTTGAATTGAATCGATTTATTGCGCACGTAATATGTGTCCATTCTGATTGGTGCAGTCTATACGGAAATCTTTATAATATTTCATCTGCGAAAATCTTTTCTTTCTTGCTAATTAATTTTATATTTAAATTACACGTTTGCGATGTGAATCGCGGATATCATAAACGCAGATTAATATAAAGCTATAAGGAAATGTATGTGAAATTGTAAATACAGCTTGATATGTATATCTAATGGTTGATCATGTATTTTCTTCTCTAGTAAATTCGTGAATTGATGATAAGCATTATAGATATATGCTGCTTATTGCAACCTATATATTGCAAATAGATAAACTGGCATCGCTTGTGGGCGTGCATATATCTGAAGCTGAATCGCTTGGCGATGCAAATGCGGCTTGATGGATAAACTTGCTTCGCTTGTGTGCGTACGTCTGACTGATCTGAATTTGAAAAATCTTGGTGAAAATAAAAGGATTTTTTTGCGGGCGAGATTTCGAGATTTCCGTATTGCTTGCACCAATCTTAATTGAATTTATTGTAAATTACGCACGCGCTAAATATTATTTAAAGAAACTATTATCACAGATTTTCGATCATAGTTTTCGTGCTTCAGATATTTGACTCGGAAGATCAATCGACTCAGAAATTCCAGATAAGCTACACGATCACATTTTTTTATTTGATATGTATTCGGAGTGGTGCCGCAACCGCGGCGTTTGATATTGTAGTATAACTTTACAGCGATAAGAGTACATAATATTCATTGTTTCTTAGGAAGAGAGGAAAAATTAATATTTCACGAGATGATAAAATTGATTTCTCCAAATTTTACTAATCCTAAATTATTCTTCAATCCTTACTTCTATGATTTCAATCTTTATACAAATTAAACTATATTTATATTTAATTAAACGTATAATCATTATGAACTTTTAAGTATCAACCGTGCGTAATTATTCATTTGAGCTTATAACAAGAACTACTTGCTATATTTAATATGGACATACCGAGCACCTCAAGGTATGCGGATACAAAATACATGAGGCGAGCAGAATGTGATGCTATCGCACAGTACTACACGTTCTTTTTCAGTCTGCAATCTGGAGACACATTTTCAGTGCGGTAACGAGACTTCCTGCCTTCCGTTGGAGAGGAGATGCGACGGAAAGATAGATTGCTGGGACGCAACAGACGAAATTAATTGCACGTTAGGTGAGTATTCTAACATATTTCTATCGCAATAACGGTAGAATAACATGTCTGTGCTATCCGATATATCCAGTACACAAATATTATATTGCGATAACATAACGCAGGAATATCTTCTTAAAATATTTATATAAAGCTTTAAAAAAAATCTGCTGTAAAAAATTTATATAAAGCTGTAAAAAATTTATATAAAGCTGTAAAAATGTAAAAAATTAAAGAAAATCTGTTATCTTACATTGTCGAATAATAACACATTATGTACGATGTCCTACATGTGTTGAATATTTTTTGAATCGTATAGTGCATAATGGAATTCTCCCGACGATTTTTGAAATAAAAATATAATCTATGTATAATGGCCTGGTTTATATCGTGCACTTGATATCAGATACTATATTCGTATCAAATTCGTATTAAATATTTAATATGCACAATGTAAACACTGACGGATCAATAGGTACGGTACGAGCGTACCAAGTAAGAGTACCGTACTAAACTAATACGCGTATCAAATGATACAAATAACAATGTAAACGTATGAAACGAATATTGAAGGAAACCTAGTTAAAATCGGTATTATCGGTAACCGTTGATTTCTCTTAAATTATATTATAGTAAAATGTCTTGTAAAAAAGGTTATAAGTTAGAGAGAAGAAGAAACAAGAACATTTTTAAAATTACGCATTCTGACTGTCGAACAAAGCTATCTTAAGCAAATTGCAATTCCAAATACCACCACTAGGAGGCAATCGACATAAATTAAATGCGTATTTTTCTTTTAGTACGTTCGATGTAAACACATCTGTATTAAAGCATTGGTGCACATCAAATTTAATACGTGTACTAACGTTTTGACGATGTAAACCAGGCCAATAATATTATTTCTAACGTCAGTCTTCTCGATAATGTAGTATAGTTAGCTTTTATATATTAAGGGAATGCTGAAGATGATGACGAATTTGAACAATGTTGATAACGCAAAAATGATCGTTACTAACATAATCATGCTATCCTTTTCGTGTTGTACATATAGAGCTTAAATGAGGGAACGTAAATGAATGTTAGTTTGTTTTACCATAGTCAGCAGAGAACCTAATCACGCATGTGTAGAAATCTTTCTGTAAATTTTTTTGATATTCTTGAGCTTCTGAATTTAGATGCGAAAATACAACAATACTTTAAAATTTTTCTGTCTGGATTATTCATATTTTTGGCATGTAGAAGTTACAGAAACTCTTCCTAGCAAACACAACATTTCACGTAATATATATGTTAGTTGTAATATCCTACTTAACAATGTAAATGTTATATAACACGTATGTTAAATAACAGTTACTTTGTTGATTAGGAAATTATAACTAACATGTACGTTACATGTAGCATTGTGTTTGTTAGGTTGGGTTAGGCAAATATTATGTTAACTAACAGCTTGAGATTTTACATTTAAAATTTTTGTTTAAAAAGAAAACAGAAAAATTTTTGAAGAACATTGCTGTATCTTCACATCTAAATTCAGAAGCTCAGAAATATCGGAAAAGTTTGCAAAAAGATTTCTACATATGCGTGGTTAGGTTTTCTGTTGAATATGGTAAAACAACCCTTATAGAAATATCATACTAAGAATCATTGATAATTACTTATTATCCAGTATTTTTAATACTGAAAATAAGTAATTATCAATGATTCTTAGTATGATATTTCTATAAGGGAAAGTAACACACATTTACATAAGTTCTATATGTACTAGAAACACGAAAAGAATAGCATGATTATGTTAGTGATAATCGTCTCTGTGTTATCGACATAGTTCGAGTTTGTCATCAATTTTAGTATCCCCTTAAGGATAATTTCCCTTTACATTAAAATTTTCAATTAAAATCAGTAGATGTAATCATTAAGATTTTAGTATTTTTTGAAGGTCAATGCATAAAAATTCTTAATTTCCAATCAATTGAATTATTACCATTTTTTTATCAAATAAATTATCATAATTGTTCTTAATATATTTCTCGATAATTTGTTATTTTGCAAACAAGATAATCGTAAGTTAGTCATCGTAAGGAAATAAATTTATTTATATTAATTTTCAAGAATTATTTATGAAGATATTCTTAACATTTTACAATTTTTCAAACGCGTTACCTAAGCATGTCTTATATCCGCAATTAACATTTTTGCCTGCAAGATAGTACTGTGTGCAGAAAAATAAAAATAATTATATATTTTACATAAAGTTATAAATAAATTTAGAAATTATTCGTAGTTTTGCTTGTAGTTACAGTAACTAATATTAATATTCAGATATAAAGTATACGGAGTATTTATTCATCAAGTTTCATAGTGTTCGAATATTTATATATGTTCGAATATTTATACATGTATCTCTGTAGATATATTCCTTCATATAAATCCTCATATTCTTTTCTGTTTCCTTCGTAGGTCGTAATTTCGATTGGTGTAAGTATATATTTGTATTTGCGTTGCATGATATGCATGTCTGTGTTTGTTTCCGATACTGCGTTATTAATAACACACGAATATGTATACAGGGTGAGTTTTTTAACTTGAGACTGCAAAATATCTGGAAAAATAAGCATTGTACGAAAAAAATGTTCCAAATAAACCCTCAATATTTTCGAGGGGCAATACTATTCCGTAAAAGTTAGCCGCCTCCCGCCCCTCCCCGGGGGTGGGATAAACAGTAACTTTAAAATGTTAAATAGGAACCTCAACTTTTTATTACAGATTCAGATTCTATGTCTAAAAACACAAATTTTTTCTGAAACATTTTTTTCGAATCCTATGACGCTGCATTTGATGAAAATTGGTTAACCTTCGTTTTCTTCAAGGGAAATCACCGTTTAATATTTGAGGCTTTCGCGGTGTCCATAAATATTATATTTGATTTCTCTATGTTTTACATGGGAATTTCCATGTTTTATTGCATAATGATGCTACATTAAGAAGAAAAGTAAGTCTTTTGTCTGAAACATCCCAGAGAACATTAAAACATCTTAAAGACGTCTAAAAGACGCCTAAAAAATTTGTGAACATCCTATTAATTTAACAAAAAGATGTCTTAAAGACGTCTTTAAGGCGTCTAATGTCGTCTTAAAGGACTAATTATTGGTCCTTGATTTAAACTTCGTAAAAAGAAAATTTGGTCACTCAACGAATTACCCTTACAGAAATATCATACTAAGAAATACTGAAAAATTATTAGAGTGATTAAGTATTACCAGTAATTCAGTAATTTTTTGGCCAGTATTTAATTTCTGGTGAATATTGATAATAAAATCTGTTAAATATTGATAGTAATCAAATACTGAGAATTATTGTGCAAAGATGAAAAATGAGAAAATCATAATATTTAAAAAAATATATTTATATATTTCATAGAGATCAACCTTCCAAAGGTTGATTCTCCGCGTACGATAATTGAAAAAAAAATTTTGATACGTTTAACATACTGGACAATGTTATCCTCCCACAATCATATTAATATTAAAAAGTAATATTAGTATTTTGTGGCACTAAGACATCCGTGCTTGCTCCTTATATGCCGTTTCAAATCTTACTGTTAGTTTTTTTTTTAGTGTACATTACCAATTTAAATTTCGATTTTCTTATTTCTTCATTAATTTAATAAATAATTATATTTTTTTTCATGCGTAATATTTATAGAAATATTTACAAAATATTATTACAAATTAATTTTTTGTTCACATATTGTACAATATATAAAATATTGTATAAAATATTCAGATATTTAGCTTATATTTTAATAATATTTTGAATAAAGGTTTTCATCTCTCTCTTTTCTTCTCTCTTTTTATGTATATATAAAAAAATATTTATAAAATATTTATATAATATTAAAAAAAAATAATTTGAAATAAATATTTATAAACATTTATCATTAATATTTATAAATATTTACCATTAATATTGTGTGCTGTCTGGGTTAATACTTTAAATTTTGACAGTACTTTACGTAAGTATTTCATCACTTAGCAAAGTATTACATATTAGTTTTTAAATATTGTTAATACTATATGTAAGTATTTTATCACTGAACGAAGTATTGTATGTCAATATTTAAATATTGAAATCACTCATAAAGTAGTATTTATAACACTAAATATTGAAATACTTGAGCACTAAAAGCTGTATTTGAATCACAGAATATTACTAAACACATTTTTAATACTAAAAATAAATAATTAATCAATGATTTTCAGTATAATATTTCTGTAAGGGTAATTCTGGAAATATTGAAATCTTGTACAAAAAATAATTTTTGATATGATGTATCTTCAACTTGTAATTTTTTATTATGATGTATCTTCAACTCACACGTTAGTTTATGTTGATTTTAAATAAAATTTAGGTCTTTTAATTGATTTCTCACTATTTTTACACCAGAAAATTTACTCAGTACTAATTGGACGCGAACTCGAGAACTGCATATACTTTCAGGTTTCTAGTGAATCACTTTAGCTGCTGCGCTACTTCTTCAACTGATACTAAATGTTTCTTATTGTTCCCATATGCAACCAAAGCAGTAATTTTTATTTTTTTATAATATTATTTAATACAACTACAAAAATAAATTATTTAGTCCAAATATTTTATATAATAAAAGAAAAGTCAGAGATATTTTGTCGACATTTGACCTCTTCTCGTGCCATGGATAGATTGTTAAAAGAATTTTGTGATATCATAATCTTTTTTTAAAAATAATATTTCATGCTTGTTTTTTGCAATTTAATGTTAAATAATTAGCCGCATTTTCATGGAAATAACAACTGAAAACATTCAATACGGTCAGAATAAATTTATAGCGTCCTAATGAACAGTTTTTCGACGATAAGTCTTTCACAGAACGCCAATTTGTGAAATCTTTTCCACAAGAAGAATTCTACCGAAATTTCACTATAACCCGTTACCGCGCTTCGTTTTTCGGCGAGCCACCCTTATAGAAATATCATACTAAGAATCATTGATAATTACTTATTTTCAGTATTAAAAATACTAGATAATAAGTAATTATCAATGATTCTTAGTATGATATTTCTATAAAGGTAGTTCAACAAATTCGATTAATATGGAGATCTTTACCTCAAGAATATGCCATAAAATTAGTTGAAAGTATGCCTCTGAGATGCCAGGCAATTATTTATAATGAAAGCGACTGGACAAGTTATTAATAATAAAACATCACAATTCTCATCAAGTAATATGTGTATTTTATTCCAAATTATTTCAACAAATTATTTATTAAGTTTTGCCGTATACGCTCTTATCAAACAGACTGTACATCTATGGTCCCCTCCCAGCATAAGATTAGAAACCACGAGATTAATTATTATGTAATATTTAATTAAAACCACGAGATTAATTATTATGTAATATTTAATTAAAAATGTTTCTTTATTAATAAAAACAGGTAGGTATTAATAAAAAAAAAAAGGTATCATGTTTTACACTTATTTTGTCTTCCAAACATACTATTGCAACTTTTATATTCTATACATGATTTGTTGTAGCTCAAACAATAAATGCAATAACTATTTATTTTTATTTTTTAGTCATCAACAATTTATCTAATTGTTTAAATAAGACTATAAGATCTCAAACGATGTAGAAAGGAAAAAGAAAAGTCCTCCATAACGATTTTTGTGGAAAACACGTTTTAAAAACCATATTGATAACGTAGACAACTTAATATAAGGGTATTCCAATGTTTAACGACCATGGGTTCTCGTTATTCGATCGAACTCAAACTTGATAAGAATTATTTTTTTGTTATATGGAAACTTTTTGGAGGGTGCCGCGGGAAAAATTTGAAAAAAAAATTTTAACCAAAAGTAAATAAGGACAACCCTAATATATATACATACATGATTATATATATATAAATATATATATATATATATATATATATATATATATATATATGTATGTATATATATATATA